GAAAACCATGGACAGGCATGGTGGGGTGCACTGTAATCCCAGCACTAGGGAGGCTGACTTGGGAGAACAGTAAATTCTAGACCAATCTGGGATACATAGTAAGACCCTGTCTCAAAAAAGCAAGCAAACAAACAAACAAACAAAAACAACCAAACAAAAAAGAATGGAATTTTTTGCTATGTATTCATCTGACAGAAGGTTATTACTCAGAATATATAAAGAAATCAAAGGCCGAGTACAGTAACTCATGTCTGTAATCCCAGCTTCTTGGGAGGTGTAGATCAGGAGGACTGAGGTTCCAGGCCAGCCTGGTAAAAAGTTAGTGAGACCTCCATCCCAACCAAAAAGCCAGGCATGATAGTGCACACCTGTTATCCCAGCCATGTGGGAGGCATAGGTAAGAGGATCATGCTCTGAGGCTAGCCCCAGGCAAAGACAGAAGGCCCTACCAGAAAAATAACTAAACCAAAAAAGGGCTGTGAGTACGGTTCAAATGGTAGAGTGCCTGTCTAGCAAGCATGAGGCCCTGAGTCAAACCCCAATGCTGCAAAAAACACCACACACACACACACACACACACACACACACACAAGACCAAAAGAACAAGTAATCCAATCAAAGTTGGGCAAATGATCTAGACAATTTTTGAAAGCAGTACAAATGGTCAACAAATATATGAAAAATGCTCAATATCTTTAGCCATCTATTAAAATGACACTGAAATTACCCAGTCAGAAGACCTATTATTAAAAAAAGGAAATAAATGCTGGTGAGTCTGAGGAGAAAAAGGAAGCTGACACACACACTGCTGGTTGGAATGTAAATGAGTGCAGCCACAGTGGAAAACTACATGGAGCTGCCATACGACCCAGCCTGGTATCCAGATGGTATCCAGAATACCATCCTGGGTATTCTGAAGGAAATGAAGTGAGCATACACTAGAGGCACCTGCACGCCCATGTTTATTGCAGCAGTATTCACAATGTCAGGCTAAGGAATCAGCTGAGGTGCTTGCAACAGACAAATGAATAAATAAAATATGATATATACCATGAAGAACTACTGAGCCATAAAGAATGAAATACTGCCATTTGTAAGAAAATGGATGGAACTGAAGGACCTCATGTTAAATGAAATAAGCCAGACACAGAATGACACGTATTGCGTGTATTCTATCATATGTGGAAAAGCAGAGAGGGACTAGACTATTAGAGGAGGGGAGGAGGATTTGGGGGAGTCAGGGCAGGAGATGGCAGAAGAGAAGGTAGATATGATCAAAGCAGGATATATGCACATATGGAAATATCACAGTGAAACCTAATTTGTAGAATTCATATGCACTAATAATTTTAAAAAGAAAATTCTATAATCCCATGGAAATGAAATGAGGTCTACACTGAAATGAACTTACAGAGAATCAACACAATGTTCATTAATCATACAGCTAACCTTTTCAAAAACGTGGATGTCACTGGACATGGTTATGCATGTCTATAGAATCCCAGAACTAGGGAATTTGAGGCAAGAGGATTCTGAGTTTGAAGCTAGCCTGGACTACATAGTGAGACCCTGTCTCAAAAAACAGGTAAAACATGCAAATGTCCAAAAATAGCAAATTACCAGCCAGGAAAATAGTTTATGAGACCCCCATCTCCAAAATAATTAGAGCAAAATGGACTGGAGGTGTGGCTCAAACAGTAGAGTGCCTGCTTTGCAAGCATGAAACTCTGAGTTCAAACCCCAGTCCCACACACAACAGCAACAACAACAACAACAAACCCAGCAGATTGCCTAATTCCCTCATGAAATATTAAGTCAACATTTAGAAGACAAGCAAAATGTTCACTGTTTGATAAATTAGAACAAAGCAGGAAAAATATCTGCACATTAAAATATCAACACACATTCATATACACAAAAAAAAAAATTGGCAGGGTTGGTCTGTGGCTGTAGCGTGCCTGCCTGACAAGAGTGAGGTCCTGAGTTTGAACCCTAGTACTTCCAAAAGAAACCTGGTCGAAAACAAAGTACACCAGTACTTTAGTTGCACTTTTTTTTTCATTAAAATAAAGCTTATATCTTATTTTTTTTAAATTTTTTTTAAAGCTTATATTTTAAAATAGTTTTGAATTTACAGAAAAGGTGCAGACACTACAGAATTTTGTGTAGCCCACACCAAATTCCCCTAGTGTCAGCTAGCATCTTACATGGTTACGGTACATCTGTCACACTAATAATGCAATACTATGTATTTTTAAAAATTTTTTATTCATTTATTCACATGTGCATACATTGTTTGGGCCATTCCCCACCCCAATCCCCCACCCCTTCCCTCTCCCCCATGTCCCCTCGCTTCTAGGCAGAACCTGTTCCGCCCTTATCACAATACTATGTATTATTATTATTAACTAAATTCTATGGGGTTTTTTCTTTTTCTTTTTTTATTATTCACTAAATTCTGTACTTCATTTTTTCCTAATGTCCTTTATTTGTTCTGGAATCCTATCGAGGATACTACATATTGTTAGCATAAGCACTGAGTAGACATGAGCAGGACTGAGGAAATACCCAAGCTAACCAGATTTCACTCTCAAACCCTGGGTGTTCCACACCTGGGCCAATAAATGGTCCTATATCCTCCTTATGGAACCCACTCCCCATATCAAGGTTAAACTGGGAAGGGCAAAGAGGATCAAATATGCCACATGTCTTCTGAATGCTACACAGCCACTGAGCAATTCTCAAACCATTTGGGGAGGGACCATAAGAGGACGGCCTCAGTTTTGTGCCACTTGGTAATGGCACCCAGTTGGATAAAACCACAACCCCAGTTAATCCTCACCTGAGCTGTCCATATCACTTATTGAGGTGTGCTATTTCCATTCAGGCACCTGACTCTTCCTCAACTGCCTGCCTCATGCCTTGAGGTCTACTTTTTGCTTTGCTAAAAAAAATCACTCTTTACTATCTTCAAAAACAGTTGGTGATGGGGGAATAAAAAGAGGGAGTCCTTTCTTCTTTGCTTGCAGGGCCTGTTCTTCAGAGGACATGGTCATCCATACCCAAACATCCTTTTATTTCTGTTTTGAGGTGCTCTGTCCTGCTCCAAAATCTACTTCAGTGTGATGAAAAGCAAAATTATCTTGGACAGTATTGGGTGGAGCAGTCTGGAGTCCTGCCTAGATGCTCCAGAAGACATTCAGAAAGCACACGCACTAAGGCAAACAAAGCAAGCCACCCACCCACTAGCATGCTCTTGAGTCCACTGATGTTTACAGAAACCGAAAACTATAAGCATCACTTTATCTTCATGTAGAAAACAAATCTTGTACTTACTTTGTCTTTTTGAGTTTTAGCCCTCAATTTTTTTTTCTTTTTTAGAAGCAAAGAGGTTTATTTGACTCACTTTCCTAAAAGCTGTGAAGTTCAAAACTTCAATCTAAATTTTTCACAGCCAGAGACCACAGGCCGTGAGTTAGACGCCTTAGAGACCTTTTATCCAAAAGGCATTTATTTAGGGGCGATAAAAATCTGAGGCAGGATGCTCAGTAATGTAACGATTTAGAAAAGTCCATGATAAAACCCAAGGGAATTGGAAACACAAATGATGGAAATCTTAATTCATGTGAAACGAAAGAAGGACCTAGTTGCTTTATTCACATCTTGTTCATCCTCCTGTTTGTTTTCCTAAGATTGCAAATGTTTCTTGACATTTTACATATTAATGAGCAACCCAAAGCCCATTGTTACATCTTAAAAGAAACTGCTTCTTTGTGTAGATTGTTTAAAATATTTTCAGAAAAAAATACATGTGACAAAAGGAATGGGAACAAAATGGTATACTGATATAAATATATAGCCTAATAGTTAATGGGTTTCTTGAATATATTTTTGTCTACTACTTTTCTCTGGAAAATAGATCTCCACTTTTATGTATTTATTTTTGCCAGTTCATTATGTAAAACAAAACTGATGGGTCATATGCCCAATACAGCAACATACAAACTTTCATTGGTAGGGAGAGAAGCTTCAGATGGATTTGGTACTCTATCTCTCTGTGGCTAATGGACTTTTATAGTAAACTGGACTCTGGCAGATGAATTTGGCCCTCAGATGCTGTGGACAAGACCTGTGCTTGCACACATTCATGTGCTTGCCTACAGGATGGTTGTGAGGATTAGTGTTTGGCACAACACAGGGGTCCTGGAAGCACTGTTTCTTTCCCCTGCTGCTCTTTTCTTTTTTTTTTTTTTTCTGGAACTGAGGTTTGAATTCAGGCCCTACACTTCAAACCACTCCATCAGCTCTTTTTTGTGATGCATTTTTTGAGATAGGGTCTCGCAAACTATTCTCCTGGGCTGGCAAATCCAGATCCTCCTAATCTCTGCCTCCTGAACAGTCAGGATTACAGGCATAAATCACCAGTGCCCAACTGCTCTTTTCCTTCTTGTACTAAAATGTTTGTCAGTCCCATGTGCTGACATGGCATAGGGTTGTGTCAGGTAAAAGGTGTTTTTTCCTAACATTATTTGTTTTGTAAAATTAATATTCTTTTAAAAATTGTATTTGTGCAACAAGACTTTTTTATTCAAAATATATGAAGGAATGCATGTCAAAAATCATGAACAGAGTACTTTGTGGAAGGCAATGATGATAGTGACAGTAGTCTAAGAAAGATGAAAAGTTTTTTTATTTTGTTGAGGGTTGTACTGGGGTTTGAATGCAGAGCCTTGCGCTTGCTAGGCAGGAGCTCTACCATTGAGCCACTACACCAGCCCAAAAATATCTTCATCTATGATGTTCCCAGTTTTGATTTTCAAAAAGTATTTATTCCTATGGCTTCCAAATTACTCCTGAAAATGTTTTTATGAAAAACATTTTAAGTAGTAATTGTTTAGAGAAAAATGAATTAAAAACTTTAAGGATAATAATACATACAGATGAACTAAACTAAACTGAAGTTCCCAGAAATTGTTGAGTCTCAAATTCTATATCGTTAGTTAATGGGCTAAATTTTCAGAAGGCTCCCCCAAATCCTCACCACCCAAGTGTTTGTGGAAGAAAGTCTGGAGCTGCTTCCACACATCCACCTGGGCCATGGCATGAGGCTTGGGCTCTCCTCCAAACAAGATATTACTGCCCACCAAGAGGTGCACGCCAGCCCTGCACAAGGGGAAGTAAGGGGGTTCAATATAGTGCCCAGTCTCGGGGTAACAGATGACCTGGGGCTTTTCCTTCCCATGGGCCTGTAAGCGCCTAGAGACCTCATCAGCATAGAACTCACTCTTCCAGTTGTGGTCATCCTGTCCTACAAGGAACAGGAAGGTGGTGTCAGACCTTTCCACAGGAATGAAACTCTTCTTTTCTACCAAGGGACTTTGCAGGGCATCCACAACATCCATGAGGCCATCATTGGTCATCTTGACTCGATTTCTGAGTATGCTCACAGGGGGCACAGACTCATCCTTGTAGTGTATGGTGCCCCCAACAGCAGCCACAGAGCCATTGATTATGACAGCAGCCGTGACACCCTTCAGGAAAGAAGTTATAGCAAGGCCGAGTTCACCCCCTTTGGAAATTCCAAGCAGCCCAATTCCTGGACCCTTTACCTGAAAAAGGAACAGACCAATGAGGAAGGAGTTCACCATCAGTGTAGCAGAGTGAGTAGTGCCACCCTGGAAGTCAGGTGGGCCTGAGCCTAGATCTGAGCTCGAGCTGTTCTTTAGTTACAACCTATACCCTTCCTCCTTTTCTTCTTTTCCACAATTTGTCCTTTTATGGAGATTTCAACAACCACTTGATGATCTATCACATGGAGTTCCTAGCCCTCCATAACTCCTGGAATCTGTTTCTCTGTTTCATCTGAGCCAGCCATTTCCATTGTTAAAATCTAAACGAGCCATCATCACTGAAGAATCTCAGCTTCAAGCATTGGCCTCTCATCATCTTTAACCCTTTTAGTTTAGCCCTTCTAGTTACACCATTTCCACCTCTTTCAAACATGAGGCTACCCCTTCTTCACTTCCTCACTATCAACATCCTTCATATTCTCACTTCCCACTTCCTCCAGCTTAGATTTCATGCTTCATCCGTGAAATCCCTCCCTTGGGAACACTCTCATCTCTCTTATTACCCGCCTTCTTTTGGTCATACTGCCCTGGAAAAGGGCTTCTCCTGGTTAAGTCCACCTATTCACTTCTCCAGGCCTGCACACAGAGGGGTGCCAACTCATCTTACCTTCACTTCACATCTTACCTCCACGATGCCACGTGTCACTGAAAATGTGCTTTGCACTTATCCCGAGCACCACCTCACATTTCCACCTCTAGCCATTTTGGTCCCCCCACTCCCATTCATTTTCAGCTCTTCATGCTCCAGTGAGAAAACAGAAGCGATCAGGTGGGAACTTCTACCTACTGCCACATGAACTCAAGCTCTCAGATTTCTCTCCTGATCTTCTCCAAGGCCTCCCTCTACCTGTGCTTGGGTTACCATGCACTCTCTTTGTCAAGGACTGACCTTCTGTAGTTACTTCCAGCTTCCTCTCCTTCATTATAACATTCCCTCTATCTGCTCATTCCCCTCAGGGACTTCCTGTTCTTGACTCTTCCATTTACTGACAATCTTGTGACCCTAGCCCCACTAGTTCCCACCCTGATGCTACTCCTGTTCACTGCAGGTGCTCTTTCCCTTCCATGCCGTACTCAGTGGCTTCCAATTAGTGTGGGTTTGCACTGTCCCACAATGACTGCCCTTGTCCTGGACCCCTTTGTCCTCTATATTGTAAACAAATGGTCCTTTAATGGACCTATCATGGCAATCTTTTTTTCTCTCCATTTCTGCAATACCATCCTTGACTAGTTTCAACCATTACTCCGCACTGAAGTCCTAGGTATTAAATGATATTTTAATCACCTCAGCTTTTTAAAGAAAGAAACAGAGGTGGCAAGGTCATAGAGTTAGAAGCTGGCAAAATCAAATTCCAAATTTATCTTTTCTCTATCCACATCTTATGCTGGCTCCACTATACCCTACAACCTTTTCTAAGAGCTCTGATGCTTCTATCAACATTGAGCCCTGACTGAATCATAAAATATTTAAGGGGACCTAGGTATGGTACTATAGTGCTGAAGAGGCTCAGGTGGTGTATTACTTAAGATTAGAAGTTCAAGACCAGCCAGGGCAGTGTAGTGAGATCCCATCTAAAAGCAAGACCAAAGGCAAGGAATGCTGCTTCATTCTGTGATACAATGATCTAGAAACTGCAAAACATTCCCCATGCCCAGGTGTTGGCTGCCAAGTTCTCCTTTAAGTATAACCTGTGTTCTTACTGGTGTCACAAGGGACAGAGGGTTGTTAAACACAAGAATGTTAACAGACACCTTCCAGAGACTGGTCTTCTTTTTCTATACTTCCATTGTCAAACCCAGAGCTCTTAAATATGTTTGGGCTCATTTGGAAATACTGTAACATACTGGAACTCAAAATACCAGAATACCAACTAACAACATCTTTACTAACAGGAAATATTTCACAAATATAGAATGGCATAGAAATGTCTATGAGAAGTGACTATAAAAAGCAATGGTAGACAAGGGCTGTCATCACAAATGAGATAATTTTGTGAAACCAAGAGCGTGCATGAGGAGGAGAGCAGATAAGTAGCCCAGAGAAGTTAGAGAAACTCTAACCTCAGGATGATCGAGCAGGAAGTTCACCGCTTCTTCAAAGTACTCAATGTGCATGGCCTCAAAGGTCTTGGGGAGGTCTTCATGGTTGTAATAAGCAAGAGCCATCACAGCAAAACCCTTCCCCGCTAGCAGACTTGCTCGATACTCCATGAGGCCCCCTCCAACTCCGAAAAGGTCCACAATCCCAGGAAAGGGTCCAGGTTCTTGGGAAGAAAGAACACAAAACACAAAACTAACAATTCTTGAAACTCTCTGCAGTGGCATCCAGAGCCATTTTTTTTTTGCCTAATTAAGTTTTCTAGTGACAATCAAAAATGCTGAAAGACCTCAGGGTCTTCAAATAACCAGAGAGTGGCCTGAGCTAAATCTATATTCTCTCTCTACCCACAGTGTCAAAGCCCTACAGATTTTCATAAAGAGTATTGATTACTTTTGACATCAAATATACTTTACAAATGAAACTATAACATTAAAAAATACTGTCTTCCTTAATGAACATTGATGAAAAATCCTCAACAAAATAATGGCAAACCGAATTCAGCAACACATCAAAAAGATTATTCACCATGACCAAGTAGGCTTCATCCCAGGGATGCAGGGGTGGTTCAACATATGAAAATCAATAAACGTAATAAACCACATTAACAGAAGCAAAGACAAAAACCACTTGATCATCTCAATAGATGCAGAAAAAGCCTTTGATAAGATCCAACATCATTTCATGATAAAAGCTCTAAGAAAACTAGGAATAGAAGGAAAGTTCCTCAACATTATAAAAGCTATATATGACAAACCTACAGCCAGCATTATACTTAACGGAGAAAAACTAAAACCATTCCCTCTAAAATCAGGAACCAGACAAGGATGCCCACTATCTCCACTCCTATTCAACATAGTACTGGAATTCCTAGCCAGAGCAATTAGGCAAGAAGAAGGAATAAAAGGAATACAAATAGGTAAAGAAACTGTCAAAATATCCCTATTTGCAGACGACATGATCCTATACCTTAAAGACCCAAAAAACTCTACTCAGAAGCTTCTAGACATCATCAATAGCTATAGCAAGGTAGCAGGATATAAAATCAACATAGAAAAATCATTAGCATTTCTATACACTAACAATGAGCAAACGAAAAAGAATGTATGAAAACAATTCCATTTACAATAGCCTCAAAAAAATCAAATACCTAGGTGTAAACCTAACAAAAGATGTGAAAGACCTCTACAAGGAAAACTATACACTTCTGAAGAAAGAGATTGAGGAAGACTATAGAAAGTGGAGAGATCTCCCATGCTCATGGATTGGTAGAATCAACATAGTAAAAATGTCGATACTCCCAAAAGTAATCTACATGTTTAATGCAATTCCCATCAAAATTCCAATGACATTCATTAAAGAGATTGAAAAATCTACTGTTAAATTTATATGGAAACACAAGAGGCCACGAATAGCCAAGGCAATACTCAGTCAAAAGAACAATGCAGGAGGTATCACAATACCTGACTTCAAACTATATTACAAAGCAATAACAATAAAAACAGCATGGTACTGGCACAAAAACAGACATGAAGACCAGTGGAACAGAATAGAGGACCCAGATATGAAGCCACACAACTATAAGCAACTTATCTTTGACAAAGGAGCTAAAAATATACGATGGAGAAATAGCAGCCTCTTCAACAAAAACTGCTGGGAAAACTGGTTAGCAGTCTGCAAAAAACTGAAACTAGATCCATGTATATCACCCTATACCAAGATTAACTCAAAATGGATCAAGGATCTTAATATCAGACCCCAAACTCTTAAGTTGATACAAGAAAGAGTAGGAAATACTCTGGAGTTAGTAGGTATAGGTAAGAACTTTCTCAATGAAACCCCAGCAGCACAGCAACTAAGAGATAGCATAGATAAATGGGACCTCATAAAACTAAAAAGCTTCTGTTCATCAAAAGAAATGGTCTCTAAACTGAAGAGAACACCCACAGAGTGGGAGAAAATATTTGCCAACTATACATCAGACAAAGGACTGATAACCAGAATATACAGGGAACTTAAAAAACTAAATTCTCCCAAAACTAATGAACCAATAAAGAAATGGGCAGTGAACTAAACAGAACTTTCTCAAAAGAAGAAATTCAAATGGCCAGAAAAACACATGAAAAAATGCTCACCATCTCTAGCAATAAAGGAAATGCAAATTAAAACCACACTAAGATTCCACCTCACCCCTGTTAGAATAGCCATCATCAGCAACACCACCAACAACAGGTGTTGGCGAGGATGCGGGGAAAAAGGAACCCTCTTACACTGTTGGTGGGAATGTAGACTAGTACAACCACTCTGGAAAAAAATTTGGAGGCTACTTAAAAAGCTGGACATCGATCTACCATTTGATCCAGCAATACCACTCTTGGGGATATACCCAAAAGACTGTTACTCCAGAGGCACCTGCACATCCATGTTTATTGCGGCACTATTCACAATAGCCAAGTTATGGAAACAGCCAAGATGCCCCACACTGACGAATGGATTAAGAAAATGTGGTATCTATACACAATGGAATTTTATGCAGCCATGAAGAAGAACGAAATGTTATCATTCGCTGGTAAATGGATGGAATTGGAGAACATCATTCTGAGTGAGGTTAGCCTGGCCAAAAGACCAAAAATCGTATGTTCTCCCTCATATGTGGACATTAGATCAAGGGCAAACACAACAAGGGGATTGGACTATGAGCACATGATAAAAGCGAGAGCACACAAGGAAGGGGTGAGGATAGGTAAGACACCTAAAAAACTAGCTAGCATTTGTTGCCCTTAACGCAGAGAAACTAAAGCAGATACCTTAAAGCAACTGAGGCCAATAGGAAAAGGGGACAGGACTAGAGAAAAGGTTAGATCAAAAAGAATTAACCTAGAAGGTAACACCCAAGCACAGGAAATCAATGTGAGTCAATGCCCTGTATAGCTATCCTTATCTCAACCAGCAAAAACCCTTGTTCCTTCCTATTATTGCTTATACTCTCTCTACAACAAAATTAGAGATAAGGGCAAAATAGTTTCTGCTGGGTATTGAGGAGGGGGAGAGGGAGGAGGTGGAGTGGGTGGTAAGGGAGGGGGTGGGGGCAGGAGGGAGAAATGAACCAAGCCTTGTATGCACATATGAATAATAAAAGAAAAATGAAAAAAAAGAAATACTGTCTCCACTGCCTCCAAACTGTCAGTGAGGATGCATGGGTCCCTGAACCATCATACAAAGCTGGCAGTAATGCAAAATGTGCAGCATGTAGAAAACAGTTGGCAGTTCCTTACAAACACAAGCACAAATTTACCATATGATAAAGCAATCCCACTCCTAGGTATCACCCAAGAGAAAGTAAAACTGTTCACACAAAGACCTGCCTAGGAAGCATGAGGCCCTTCTTAAGGGTGTTATTTGAATCTATATTGAAGTGCAGAACAAAATGATGGTAATAGAAAAAGTTAGAGACAGGTGTAACTGTTGATAATATCAGGTAGACTGATTATTTTTTTAAAAGTATGTGAAAATAAAATTTTTAAAATGTTTAAATGTAGAAAAGATTTTTAAGCATTTATAAAATTTAGTTTCCTTAGCAATAAAATGAAGTTCACCCCTAGTGCCACAGAGACTTCGGGAAGCTCAATTGAGACACCACATGTAAACTGCTGAGCACGAGGTCGTTAATAAGAAGCACTCAGACAAGTCCAAAACCATGTTTGCTATTGAGTCTCCGGTGCTTTTAACAGCAGTGAGCACTGCACTCACATAAGTATGGGGTGACCTGAACACTGGTCACTGTTAAGGTGAATATAGCTCAGTGGTAGTGTACTTGCTTAGCATGCTCAAGAGCCTGAGTTCAATCCCTAGCACTGAAAAAATAAATGAAACCTTTTAGCCAGGTACCGTGCTACAAACCTCTAATCTCAGCACTTGGAAGACAGAGGCAGGAGGTTCATAAGTTTGAGGCCAGCTTGGTCTAAGAAGTGAGACCCTGAATAGAAAAAACACATATGATGGTTAGAATAATTTCCTAAACAATGAAAACCTAGTAGGTGTCTACTAGTAGAAGTAGTACCAGGTAACAGTACAGTCTTTGCTCAGTGAGGCTCTACCTAGTCCATTCACTTTCATTTCCACTATTCTTCAGCAGTAATTTGTTGTTAATTTCCTTATTAACAATTTGAATTTTAAGATTCCTTCTCCCTAGCCCTCCCCTGTGCCTAACTGTATTCTAAGCTCCTGTAGACATGGTCTTTCTTCCTCACTTGTATCCATGAGGTCTAAAACCTCTAGTGTTCGCTGCATGGATGAATACATGTTTATGTGTATTCATTCAAAGGTGTCACAAGTACGATTTATTTAACTTTCATAATAAAACTGGAGGTTGGAGACAAGTTCACAACCACAAAGTAATGATGCCACTCAGGCCCCCTCCCTTTTTTAAAAAATAGAAAGCAAGACAGCTTATTACTTTATTGCATTTTAGTGCTTTCTCAAAATAAATAGCATAATATCACATGGATTGCACAGTGAGAAATGAGGCACAGGTTAGGAAAGCATGGTGACTGGGTCACGGACTTTAATGCTCAGCACTGGAGAAATTGTACAGCTTTAGTTATTTATTTACAGTGCCACATCTAAGCCATATATACAAAGTCCTCTTTAAAGGAGGAAGAAATCCAAGAAAGGCCTTCTTCTAGTGTTTTTGTACTCTGTTCCTTCTTTCCTTTGTACACAACTTACCTTTCAGTCTACCTGATATTGTCAACAGTTACACCTATCTCTAACTTTTTCTATTATCATCAATTTGTTCTGCACTTCAAGAAAGATTCAAATAACACTCTTAAGAAGATAAGTGGCTCCAAGATCTTCCAGCAGCTGGCCCATCCATAAGGAGTCTCTGATGTGTGGCACACGCTGCAGTTGGGATATACCTGTTCCCTAGGAATGTATGCTCAGAAGCAGGGACCAAGGAGGAAAGAATCTGGGCCGCCTCCTTCTTAATCACCCTACGACTTGAACCAAGCCCCAGTCCTCTGGGTTGTTTCTTTTTGACAAGAGGTCTCTGTTGCCCAGGCTGGTCTTCAACTCAAGACCTCAAGCGATTTTGCCTCAGGCTCATGGTTAGCTAGGACTACAGTCGTGTACCACCGCAAAAGTCTCAAAACTGAAAAACTTCTAAATGAATACTGAAAAGTTGAAATGTCCTGTAGAGTTTATTATTATTAATTATGACAAGCGTCTTTTCCTTTTCCCTATGAAGTCTTTTCACCGAGCAGTAGTTTTGGAGCAGCAGCGCCACCTTCCTGGTAACCTTCCTTTCATTCTGTCTTCTTGGCACTGACCTCTGGAATGTCCGGAGCTACCTCTTCCCTAAAGGCAAAAGAGGCCAGCGAGGCCAGCAGGTGGCTCACCTGGCGGCAGGAAGAGCGTGGCCCGCACCCGGCCCGCGCGCACCGGCACCCGCCGCACCCCTGGCGACATGAAGTGGCGCTCGTGCTCCGCCCGGGCCAGCAGCCGCCCGCCGTCGGGCTCGTGGCCGTCCAGCACCTCCAGCTCCACGACGAAGGGCGTCTGCACGTCCCGCTTGACCAGGCGCCAGAACGGCCTGTCGGGCTCCAGGGCCCAGAGGAGCCCCATGGGCTCGAGCCCCGCGAAGCTGCCGCCCAGCGCGGGCGCGCGCGCCAGGTCGAGGTGGCCGGCGGCGTCTGCGCGGTAGCGCGCGTGGGCCCGGAAGCGCGCGCCCTTCTCGTCGCGCAGGGACGCGCGCAGCGTGACGGGCTGCTCGGGGGCCAGGCCGCGCACGGCGATGCGCACGGGCTCGTCCCAGCAGCAGCGGCCCGCGGGCTCCACAGTCAGCGTGGCGGCCATCTGGATGTGGACCTGGACAAGCCTGGGGTCTCGCTCTGCCTCCCGGGTAGCAGGCGCGGGCAGGACCACTGGCATCACTCCCATTGGTTGGCCATTTGGACGCCCTCCAAGCCGCTGTGAGACTTCTTTGTGGAAATGCAACATTTCCCCGATTGAAAGGAAGAATATCCCCTAAGAGCAAAGGCCAAGCCGGGAATCCACCTGGCGAGGGTCAGAAGTACAAAGCAGTGTAAACTGAAAGATTGAGACGGCCACAGTCCCACGAATTGGATTTTGCAGAGGCTGTGTTAGGTAGCAGTTAGCCACGAGTGAAAGATAACCTAAAATGGAGGCTTCTTCAAGGTCTCTGAGAGAAAAACATTGTAATTAAACTCTCCGATTTTTAACAGTCCCTGTTCAAAGTAGCCCACCAAGCATCACAGGATGCTTTCAAATCCAACACTCACCTAAAGCTTAATCCTTTCTTTACTCAAGAGTAAGCAGCCCTCACGCTAGGCATCAGATGGACCTGGGACCAGAAATTTCACACAGGGAATCTCTTTACTTTAGGAAGACAGACGCTGGCCCATAGGCTGCATCCTAGGGATCAGATGGACCCGTGACTGACAAATTCCTCAAGAAATATCCAGCTCCCACTGCTGACACTCTACTGAAAGTGTACTCATCTCCTAATATGATTTGCTACCATTTTTCACTACATTCTCCCATCTTGCCTGAATTCTGTCGCTGGACCAAGGTAGGACACCAGTGCCGACTTTCTGTTAACAATTGGGAAGTTCTTTCCCAAGGAGCTCTATGGAAGAAGCAGGTGCTGCACAGGCCAAGTGTCATAATCTTCAAAAAATCAACTGCCATAGGTAGTTCTTTGTATTCATGGGAGGAGGGTGGCCCTGTAGACAGAGAGACAGGAAGGACAAAGGGAATCCCTCAGCTTCCCATTTTCCATGCTAATCACAGGGACTTCAGAGCCAGGAGGAAAAGTATTTTAAGGGGTCTCACAAAAGGAGTGTCTTACAAGGTCAAAATTTAACAAGAATTTATTTTAGTACAATAGATAAATATGGAGACATAGGAAAGGGAGGGAGAAACATCTCCTGCACTTTACCCAGAGGAGATGTGAGTGGCAAAGACACAAATGTTGATTCTCTCAGTATTTATAAAATTCCTAACTGGATACCTGGTCAAATCACCTAGCAACCACTAATCTTTTTAAGTTTCAAAGCAATAGGTGTTTTTGGGGGGGACTGTTACCCCAAATATGTGTCCTGTTTATTATTCAAGGTGGCCTAGGTTTACTGAAAGCATAGGGACACTAGTGTTTTAGGACTAATATTTGCCAGACATTCCCTTTAATTTTCTGTCTCAACCTATTCAAAGAGTTCCAACTTCTTAACATCTAAAAGATGAGCTGGTGGAGAGACTCAAGTGGTAGTGTTAGGGGAGCAATGACAGAGGTGACTCATTTTGGTGAGAGAGGCACTTTAAAAGCAGACATCTAAAGAGGCATGGGAAACAATGGGCTTCTCAGAAAAATAACAAGCCTCTCACCAAAGTAACATGATGGAGCTGCACAATGTGGTGGTAGGCCCCAAGGCCAGGAGGAGTTGACCAGACCTTTCTGGAATGTCCAGTTCAATAAGGAACAGGATGGACAGGTGGTCAAATTTAATGAGATGTGAACTAGGTGCCAACCAATCATAAATACAGACTAGTAGGACCTAAGCCAGTTAATGCCCTATATCATCTCCTGATCTTCAGCCTTTCTTTGACTTACCTAAGTCCCACTCATTAGGGTGCATTTCTATCCTTTCAATAAACTTTGTATTTTCTTTACTCTTAATTTCTGCTCTGGTGTAGTCAATTATTGACCATGTCAGGACATGAATCCAGGGAATAGAAATCCGGTATCAGTAGAGTGCCAGGGCTGACAGAGTGTCTCAAGAGGTAGAGCGCCTGCCTAACAATCTTAAGGTTGAGTTCAAACTGCAGTACTGCCAAAAAAAAAAAAAAAAGTGGTAGAGTGCTGCCTAGCAAGCACAAGACCCTGACTTAAACTCCAGAGCCACCAATAAATAAATAAATTTAAAAGAAGGCAGACTTGCCTTTTGTTCTGTAGCTCCCTATTCTATTAATTTATTTAACATCTAAAGAAAAGGGAGAGTGATGAGTTTGCTACTCTGATTTTTCAGATTATTTTATTTCCTGGTTCTGTTTTAATTCTTGGGTCTGGCCCTTTTAATATTTTTTATTATTTCCAATTTCTTTTTCACCTCATTTATCTACCCTACCTCAGTCCTACACAAATTTCAGTGTTGTCCACTGACTTGATGAAGTGATTGAACTTAATACCCAGATATGGGACATATTATCCCCAGAATTAAGCCAAAACATAAATTTGATGTGAAAGGCGGCCAAAGTCAATCTTGCACACTAGAGGAAATCATTAAAAATATCTGTATCTAAAACTCATCCACATGGGCAGGGTGCAGTGGCTCACAACAGTAATCTCATCTATTTGGGAGATAGAGATTGGAAGTATTGTTAGGAGCTAGCTTGATCTTAGGCACTTAGGACCAGGAGCCATAAAGGAACGATTAAAGTCAGCAAGTATGTTACCAGAAAAATAGCACTAGTAAATACCTCGGTTCTTGCACCCGGCAGGAGAAGAATTCAAGCAAGATGCAAAGACTATAATAAAAATAACAATAAAGCTTATTAGGAAAGGAATACACTTTTGGCAAGCTGAGGGAGGTCACCTAAAGGGAGGAAAGGACAGGTTAGGCTTAAGGTTGGAATGTTTATTAAAGAAGTTATGGTCCAGGAGGCAGTAGAGGAAGTGGGGGTTATGGTGGGAGGAGCCCATACTGAGCATCTTCCCATGTGCCATGGGAAGGTGTCTTGCTGCAGGTAAGTCTTCAAGAAATAAGAAATTCTATACCATCTGAAAGTAGTTCTTGTCGGTGCCTTCATTTAAGAAACACTCTTTAAGATAAAAGGGAAACGTTTTCTGATAAAACAAAAACTTCATTTAGTATAGGCCCATGATAAAATAATTACAAAATGAGTGTTGTTTGTAAAAAGTAACATCAAATCAGCTAGAGAGATATGTATCATGTTTTAAATTAGGTTTTGTGAGTAGACAGATTAAAGGTCTATTTTAAATACAAATTTTATGAAATACTTTCATATTAAAAAAAAAAGTTTTAGTTTGGGTTTATTTGGCCCCTGGGATGATTTCCTGGATTTGGTCAATTGTCTTGTTAAATGAAATATTGCCTATATAAACTACCTGTTTCTTGATGGAGGGGGTGAATTCAACTATTACATATTGTAAGAACTTAAGTAAATGTCACAATGTAACCCTAGTACAACAATAAAAAAAAAGAATGATTAAAAAGTTAAGCTATCAGTTCCTACTCTAATTGATAGAAAGTTTCTGTTTGAAATTCCTAACCCTCTTCTCTATGCCGCTCCTATGGCTAGGTCTTTGTTTAGTTAAATATACTTATGTAAACTCCCAGCGCCAGGCCTAGCTGATGTTTAAAATGTAGATTACTTTGCCGGTGCCAGTGGCTCACCCCTATAATCCTAGCTGATCAGGAGGATCATGGTTCTAAAACAGCCCAGGCAAATTGTTCATGAGACCCTAACTCAAAAATACCCATCACAAAAAAAAAGGCTGGTGGAGTGGCCAAGGTGAAGGCCCTGAGTTCAAGCCCCAGTGCTGCAAATAAATAAATAAATAAATTGTAAATTACTTTTAAGTAAAGAGTGGGTTAAGTTTTAGGTGAGTAACTAACTTCTCCGGCCCAGGGCTGGGAGAAAGATGAGGACAGTTAAAATTAAAAGACAAACAGCTATCAGAGAGAAGGGAAGAAAAAGCACGCCAAGACCCTATAAGGAGAAAATCGGGTGCCTACCTATCAGAAAGGTGTATCCAGGGGTTTTTGGCCCCCAAAGCATGCCAAAAACTAGATAAAAAAACCTTTTAAGCACGAAGCTGCCATGGCTCAGTCTTTGAGTCTCACCTGCAGATGTTTTGTCTTTCTTTACTTCAGTAAACTTCTTTTCCACTTGCCACTCATTGTCCAAGCTTGTCATTCTTTACCTGACCCTGGACAAGACCCTGGATTAAATCTGCATTACTGCAAAGAACAACAACAACAAAAAAGGCTATAAAGGTAACTCCCTGACTGCCAAGTGAGGCAAATTGATGTTGATGTCTAAAATACATTGTGACTGAAAGGAGATCAATAAAAAGATGTTAGGGCTGTTGGAGTGGCTCACAAAGTAAGAGCGCCTGGCTAGCAAGCGTGAGACTCTGAGTTGAAACCCCAGTGCTGCCAAAAAAAAAAAGAAAAAAGATGATAGATAGAAATTATACTAAGCTCCTGCACTGGGCCCCAACAAACCATACTAAAAACCAACCTGGAGTCATCCATGCTAAAATTTCAGACACCAAATGAAACTAAGTTTTTCACTGACATTTGGAGATACCTGGGAAGAAAGTTAACAGTCAAGTTTCTTAAACAGGCCAGTTTCAAGTAACATGACAATGAAGTTCTCTCTGCTTTAATCTGCTTTAATATGTCAATCCTTAATCCTTACATCAAGTAACCTGAAGTACCCTGATGTTAATCAGTTATTCTTCTATTCTGACTCTGCCTTATAGGAAAGTTAATTTTCAAATGACCAATTCCCTTTTCATTGCTTATTTCTGCCTTTTTCAGAGCTTTTCTGTCCATAAAACCTACCTCCCCTACCTAGCTGAATAGAACACTTATTCTGTCCTGTGGAATAAAGTGTTGCATGATTCAAGAATAAAAATCAACCTAAGTAAGAATTTTTTTTTTGGTGGTACTGGAGTTTGAACTCAGGTCTTTGAGCTTGCAAAGCAGATGCTGTATTGCTTGAGCCACACCTCCAGTCCATTTTTCTCTGGTTATTCTGGAGATGGGGTCATGCAAACCCCATTCAAGGCTGTCCTTAAACGGAAATCTTCCCTAGCTCAGCCTCCTGAGTAGCTAGGATTACAGGTGTGAGCCACTGGTGCCTGGCCTAAGTAAGATCTTTAAGTTTTTGTAATTTTGTTCTGTGATGAAGAGAGAGCTCCGTATAGACCCACAATGTCAGTCATTCTTAACTAAAATTCATTTCTATGGAA